TTCAAGGTCGCGAAAGATAGACGGGTTCCACTTTGATTTGCGATGTTTGACATGTTTATATTTAACGTTTAGTTTTATAGTTTTACTATGTTATAACTTTGGATAATGTATTTTTGGTACCTTTGAAATATATAGTATACTAGTTCCGGCCCCTACGGTTAGAAGGTTTGTGTTCCGCCCCTGCTGGTAAGTGTTTACTGGTAAGAGTCAATGTTTATTAAATTTACCGAATAAGATTTTAATTAATTAAACAGTATCGTATATAACATTTTTATTCACTTATCAGATAAGACTCTTAGATGTCGTCAGTTGTTGTCATCCTTTTTAACGGATTAAATTCTTAATCTTTGTCATGTTTATCCGATAAAATAAATTGATTAGATAACTACTTACTGAATGAACGTTTAATAAATGACTTGCTAAATCTAACTATTAGATTTATATTTATTTTATTAATCAATTATTTACAACAATTTTTTCCTCATCATTCAAATTAGAGATCATTGAACACTTAAAACCAAATATTATAAGTTTATAATAATCAGAGAGAGGGGGGTCGAGTTCATGTGAGACCAATTTGTTTTTTTGAGATCCGTGACACTACATTTTCACATTTGAAACTTCATAGCAAAACATTGTGAATGTAAAAAAATCAAAACATTCACAGCAAAAACACTGTGAATGTTATCTTCACGGTGTTTTACTGTAAAGTTTCAAATGTAAAAAGATGGTCTCATGGGTCTCACGAAACAGACTGGTCTCATATGATCCCAAATCACGAAAACCGGCTTCATCATTCATGTCTGGTCCCTATGAAGCTATGAGCCGGTGATTTCCTTAATCCTATTTCATTCATCATATTTCTCACATTCTCCGCATCCTCCCACCTTCCAGCAGCAGCATAAATATTGCCCATCAATATATAATTACCAGTATTCTCAGGCTCTAACTCGAACAGCCATTTTGCAGCCACTTCACCCAATTCCACCTTCTCATGAACCACACACGCACCCAACAACGCACCCCAAACCGTATGGTTCGGAGCTGTCGGCATCGTCGTAATCAAGTCGTACGCCTCCTCCAGCCTCCCGGCTCGACCAAGAAGATCAATGATACAGGTGTAATGATAAGGACGAGGGTCGACTTTGTGATCTTTAACCATGAACCGGAACAAGCTCAACCCCTCATCCACCAATCCAGAATGGCTGCAGCCGTGCAAAACAGAAGTAAACGTGACTTCATTAGGTTCCACCCCAGATCGAACCATTTGATTGAAAAGAGAAAGAGCAGCTTCTCCGTTCCCATGTTTCCCGTAACCAGCGATTATCACACTCCACAAAATAATATCTCGTTCTTTTGAGGGAACCTCGTTAAAGCTCATGTGCGCTTGTTCCAAAGCTCCGCATTTTGAGTATATATCGATTAAACCAGTGGCTAAATCGCTTTTTGAGAGAAACCCGGATCGTATTAGATAACCATGGAAACCCGTTACCTGTCTAAGATCTGTCGTAATGGCGTACGCAGGCAGAAGAGATTTTAAAGTTGCTTCGTTGGGTGCTACACCTTCCGATAGTCTCATTTCTTTGAACAACATTATTGCTTCTCTACCAAGCCCGTTTTCAGTGCATCCAGAAAGTATTGCATTCCACGGGGCCGTTCCCATTTTTGACGTTCTGTTAAACACGCGAAAGCTGTAAGCGAGAAGGACACATTTTGCATACATGTCGACCAATCCAGTCTCCACATTTACATCGGAATCAAGATCGTTCTTCATTGCCCATCCATGGAAGCTCTTACCTTGCTTCAAATACTTCAAATCCGCACAGGCTGAAAGAAGAGATGCCAAAGTTAAAGCATTAGGCCGTACACCTTCAAGCAGCATTAACGGGCAAAGTGATACGGCGCTTCTTGGATCACCGTTTACAATGTACCCATTGATAATGGACGTCCAGGTCACTACATCTCTCCCATTAGTTTCATCGAATATGGCTCGTGCATCTTCCATTTGACCGCATTTCACATACATATCCACCAAAGCATTTCTAACGAATAAATTTTCGTCCAAACCGTTCTCTTTCACCATACCATGCACCTCTATCCCCACCTCTAATGCTTTCAGATAAGCACACGAAGGGAGGACTGAAACAACGGTGGCGTTATCAATCTCCACTCCAGCATCGACCATTTCCTTAAAGACCCTCAAAGACTCGTTGGCAAATCCGTTTTTGAGATACCCGCTTATCAAAGTGTTCCAAGAGACCACACTTTTGTCATCCATCTCGTCAAAAACTTGTCTAGCACTATCATTCTCACCAAAACTCATGTACATTGCGAGCAATGAATTACCAACAAACGTATTTGAATCAACACCGCTACTTATAATCAATCCGTGAACCGATAAACCAAACTGTGACATCGATAATGCAGAACAAGCCTTAACCACAAAAGGGTACGTGAGCCTATCCGGCTTCGTTCTTCCCGACTTAAACATTTCCACAAACATCTCGAGTGCATTATGCATCAATCCCTTCTCCGTATACAACTTTATCATACTGTTGTATGCACGCTTAGTTCTCTGATGCAATCCATCAAACAGTTGACGTGCATTGGGAACATGACCAGACAACGCATACCCAGATGCGAGAAGAGCAGGAATGTAGCGTGATTCCCATGGTGCAAGGAGGCCCGATATGATGAGACGGGCATGGAGTTTCGTGATGTTTGCGAGAGATTTGCTGCCGGCATAAGTGTACAAAAGAGACTCGACTTGAGCTGGAGTTGGGACGGTGGTGCGAGTAAATAAGTGGCTGATATTCAGAAGCGCGTTTGATGTGCCATTCATGACTTAGTCAGGTGCGCTTCATAACTTTAATGGCTCCTCATGAGAAAGTTCAGCAAACTTTCTTGTCGTTCTCCCATGCGTATTTGAGAGGCGGGAGGCGGGAGGGACAGAGCTCGATGAAGAAAAACATGGGCTGCTCTCTGTATTTTATTTTTTAAGAGGGTGTTTGGATTGCTTATTTGAAATTTATTAATTTATTATAAATTAAAATGGTTTATTTTCTTCAAAAACTTTTTATTACCGGTTTGATACCGGTATAAGTTGTTTATCCAAATACTCAAAAGTGTTTATTACCAGTGTCACATTGGAATAAGTCAATAAGTTGTTTTTATAAGCAATCCCAAACATCCTTTAAAATTTACCGTGAAATCTAAATGGGTGACCGGAGTCGGTACTGATTGGGATCGATAAAGACCAAGACAGGACCGACGGGTTAAAACTGGTTACGATATTTATGAAAATTCTAGTACGAGTCTGAAACCGGTTATGAGATGTGACAGATTATAAATAGGCCTAATTTTAAAACAAAAATATCTATTTTTATAAATTATATATCAGGCTTTCCAATATTTTTATAAGATTTTCAAGTGTTTCAATACTAAATTTCAAAATCGTAATTATAAAAACATTTATAACATTTGTGTGTATTTCAATTAGATATTATACAAAAAAAATATATCTTCCAACACGATTATTTATATGTTTAAAATTGATCCACATATAATATATACGGGTTGGGTTTCGGTGAGAAGGAGAGTTAAAGTGAGAAACGTAAAGAATAATCTCCACCTTTGGATACACATTAAGATGACCTGCACTAGATCAATCCCTGTATCAGACGAAATTCATGGATGGGTTTGGAATAAAAGATGATTAAAAGTCCAGATCCCTTCTTACATTTCTCATCTTAACATTTTTTCTCACAATCTTTGGCCTAATGCATACATTCAAATATTTGTTTAATTTTTCTAGAGCTTGACATTGATACTTACCGTTACAATGTTCGATATCTTACCCAAGTTCGATGCCTATAGCTTGTAATAAGAACGTCTCTAAACAAATCTACTAAAATGAAGATTTTGGGATTTTTGTTGTAACAGATTCTCCAAAACCTTTCTTAAAATGGAGAAAAAAACAAAAGCATATTAGAAGCAGCACAAATCATAACAGATAAACATGAAAAAACCCTGGCAAGCTCATCAATATTATTTGGGAAAAAAGTTGATTACCAGCAACCCCAACCGACCCGCCACAAAACCGGCCTACAAGGACACCAATGTGAGGGGACATTTTTTGGCTTACTCAAGCGTAATGTCTTGTATTTGGGCAAAGTCGCCCCACTCCTTTGCCAACTGAGCTACACACCTGAGACCTCATATCAACAATATTGAGCCAGAAAAGAAAATACCCCTGCAGGTTGCAGCATCTGGAAATAACGACAGGTGACAGGAACCTTCCCATCTTTTTGGCCCATCACTCCAAACACTGAACTCCCAAGGTTGGTTAGCACTTACCTTAATGGCTGGGAATGTTACCCCATAAGGTAAGTAAGATTGGTGACTCTTGTTGGTTAGCACTTACCCGATAAGCATTTAGTAAACTGGCTCTAAATCCATCTAGATAAATTTAAATGGTTGCATATCATTTAAAAATTGGATTTTACCTATTATTAGCTTCAAGAATCAAGAAATGGCAACATGGCAAGACACTACATCTCATCAAGCCACTGCATAGAAGTGGTTCAATCCGTGCAAAAGTTGTGTATAGCAACTTACTCGTTCAGCTCATCAACATTAGATAAAACCCTAACAAATATGGATTGACGGGGTCAATTTCACCGTTAAAAAAGTAATTATCATCTATATAATCCATATCACAAACAAAGATGATCAAAACAGAGAAAACATACAATCTTAAGACTTGGAATCCTGCTAGAATGTTTATGATGCCCGATTCAATCAACTTTTCGGCTCCCTTGCCGTGTTGCAGCAGCTTTCTGTGCACAAAGTAGTGTTAAGAGACTGAGAGATGGATCTAGAGACCCTAACTGGTCTACAAGAATAAAGGGAAAGGGAACAAAACATATAGAAAGAACACATGGGGCCAATAAAAATAACAACCTTACATTAAGTACAACATCCTTAAACACCATTCAGTCTATGCCGATACTGCACACACCATTCCACCACTATTTAGCAGGCTTCTAAAAGGTTGACATGGCGCAAGACGCGACTTTGCAGTCATGGTATAGCCCATAGCGTTTGTGTAATGTGTGGCTTATGCCATCGCGTCTTGAGGTGCACCATGGCTTGCGTTTTTTACAAGGGTGGCAATTTTGTTTTTTACACTTTACATGATTTTTCCATTTGTAATATGAATTTAAATTGTTTAATATCATAATATTATTGAGAAATAATAGAAACATATATGTATATACATATATATAGGGTTAGGTTCACGGGAAAACTGCAAAAAAAAAAATGAAAAACTGAGGTACACTCTGGTGTAACCATTCATCTAGATGGTATGCACATGTACATAACATGCACACGTGCATAAAAACCAAGAAACAACTTTCAATCACTTGTATACACATGTGCAGTGTTCCTTGGTTTTTCAGTTTTTTTTTGGGGGGGGGTTCCCTTGAACCTCCCCCTCTCTCTCTCTTATATATATCTATATATATATATATCTATATATATATATATCTATATATATATATATCTATATATATATATATATATATATATATCTAACATACGAATTTGCCGCCTCTGGTCACGTCTTGAAAAACGTCGCCTTGTTGTTGGCGCGTAAGGCGTGAGACTTGACCTCGCCGCCACGTCATTTAGAACCTTGCTATGTAGTTCCCATAAGTTAGACAAATTACCCCTTATCCACTAATGGAAGCATGATGAATTTTGGATCAAAAGGACTTTCAGGGGTTAAGTGACACTAGGAAGCCAAAGTGTTAGGCAAAATGTATCATTTATGACAACTGGTCAAGTAATATAGCTATGAGCACTTAGGCAACTCAAGGAAAATATACCAAAGATGCTTTACTAGGCTTGCTAATCATAACGCAATCTGGTTAATTTACATCAGTAAATCTGCAAAAAGATAACGAGTCTTTCCCTTGGCATCTAGTTTGTGGCTCAGTTAAGCAAATGCAGTTCTAGGCAAAGAGAGAGCTTTCCGATTGGAAATAAATGACGAAAACAGCAGGCTAACACATATCCATCGATGATGCAACTACTTATTCAGTGGACTGCAATTAAGTTCTTGGATAATAAGTTTACCAATTACATCGCCTCTCTGCCTCTGTCTTAACTGTAGATTCATGAATGATATCCCCTTTGAAACGTACACCATATGTCTCCTGTTGAATAGGTTGAAGATGAACCAGTAAAAACATAAAATTTTTGGTTCAAATTTCAAAGAACAAGAGTTATGCACTCAATTAACCAACACAATTATCAAAACAAACACATTACAGAATGCCCATGTTGCACAAAATGACTAGAAGGATAATTCTAACTATTTATTCCAACATGTATGCAAACAAACTGGGACAAGTTTTATTGGTATACAACAACAATCCCAAAAAGAATAAGTTGGAGTAATTTATATTATGTTTTTCTAGTTTTCCTTTTCCTGAAAGCAGAGTGATGAATGATAACATGAAAACACTTTCTCCATTCTCATATCACCATTCACCACCATGGAAGGTTGACCACTACAAATCTTCTCCTCACCTGATGTTTACAAACGGTAAATAACCGACACCTATTCTTCAAAAGCCAAGTATAATTCCACCATCTGTTATTTTTTGAGAGAGATACATAAATGATCATGGAAATAAATTCTTTTGTTGGATACAACTTTTTCAAGAAATATATCTCAAACTGCGATCCAGCATGTTATGCAGTTACAGCGGTCAAAATTGAAAATCGCGGTCAGGACTGTGATTTGATATAGCGGTCCAAAAATAGCGTTTTATATAATAATTAACTTATAAGAGTATTGCACCAAGAAATCTATCTTAAGAGAAACACCCACAGATCAGAAGCAATCATAAAAAACCCTGGCAAAACCATCGACCAAAAAAGAACCAGGTCAAAAGCACGCATAAACCCTTCAAATACAACAAATAGATCTTGCATCCAAAAAATTAGAACCAAGGTAAACCCCAGATGCATAGGTAGATCAAAATCAGACAACACCAGAATCAAATAACCAAAAATCTGCAATCTCAGCCGCCCCCTTGAATGTATTTCCATGAACCCACCTCCAAAAGGGGCAAAACCAACCTTTTGTCCAGCCATTAGAGAATATAAAAACGCAGAAACATCAAAATGGATATTGACATCAAGCAGATCTGAGCCAGCACCTGAGTAAACCACAAAACTTCCCACAGTAAACTAATGATCAACTACAATATGTCAGTGATCCCACTTAAATTATAACCTACCAATATGCTGATCCAATAAAAAAACCTCCAGCATCCATTCAATACTTCAAAAGCAAGATGTAACTAAGATAAGTAAGCATTGTGTCTGGAAATTACTACAGATTACTAATGATATACGATTTGAGATTCTATGAATTGAATTACAAAGATCAGGATGTGAATCAGATGGCTCGCTAAACTAATTAAGCAACCAACATAAGAAATAACAATCCTTCCCAACTCAACTTTTAACTCAAAAAGAATCCAAATTCTACAAGAACCACTCTTCTCAAATGCCAAAAAATAAAATCAACATATAGCAACACCAAGATGATATCGGGTGCAATCCTAGTTTTCACCACCCCGTTCTTAAATTTTGTTGTGTGAAACAAAAAAGTCGATACTTACTGTAATTGAAGTTTTTGGTACTACATAGAGCCTGATGGCAAAAAATCATCATATAGAAATATATGCCTGTAAAGTCATTAACAAAGTTGGCGTGAATTTTAAACGATACGTACTCGACTTATTCTGAAAACAAAATTCACACCGCTTCATGAGGATTCGATAGAATTCTGTCTTTTTCAGCCAAAACGATCACCTAATTAACAGTTCAGAGTAGCAAAAAAGTCTCAAATGCATTAAGTTATTACATTACATGTCATTTTTACTCTACTCGTTACATCTCGAGTAGATAAACGTTACAGAAGCAATCTAAATTTCAAAAGGTGAGGAAATAATATATAAACCTAATCATAAGTAAAACAAACAATGAACGATGTGATAGAACATGCATGGGTCAGGTAGAAGATGATGCAAGAAAGGATTTAGAAACGTACTGTGATGAACAATGGGTCGAACAATGCCCTGCGTCCTCCGAGCAAGTTTTTGTGTTAATATATTTCATGAATCCTTGGGATGCAAGAAATCACTATGTCAATGCTAATATCCTCCAAGGTAATAAATCTGATACAATTACCAGTAATCCCCACAAGAACAGTTACCATCAACAAAGTGGTGGAATCTATTTGAATCTCTCACAACTATTACCCGACCCTCAATCTTTGAAACATACTTAAACACCGTATGACAGTCCCCACAAATCCGAAGATTCTTCATTATTCTAATGGGCAATTCTGATTTTCGCGTAAGAACAAAGGCAACAGCAAGTTTCTCGCTATGGTAGCTCAAGATCTCCTCTTGGTTCTCAAGTTCAAGATCACGAAGTGCATATCTAATCTCAGGCACATATCCCATCTCCCTCATTTTCCCTTGCAACTCCTTGAGCTTTTCGTAGATTGCTTCTGTATCAGGGTGTGATTTATCTGAAGCTACAAAAACATGAACACCATCTTTCATGGTTACCCAACTACAACCAGCTTCCTTCTTCACTGCTGCTAGTTTCATTGATAAGCGAGTCTTTTTCATGTCTTCCCATTTACCTCTGAATGCATACATGTTAGAAAGAAGCACATAGTTCACTGCGTTATTAGGCTCCAATTCCAATAGCTTTTCGCCAGCCCTCTTACCTAAGTTAGTTGGTTGCTGACCATTTGCTCTGCAGCAAGCTCCAAGTACGGTTCTCCAGATAAGCACACTTGGGTTCATTGGCATCTTGTTTAGAAACTCCTCCATCTTATCGAGCTCACCAGCCCGTCCAAGAATGTCCACCATACAAGAAAAGTGCTCCATTTTAGGCTTTAGTCCGTATACTTTGCTCATGGAATTAAAATGATCAAACCCTTGATCAACTAAACCTATATGGCTACAAGCTGATAAAACACCAACAAAGGTCACATGATCAGGAAGTTGGCCTTGTAGCTTCATTTTTGTGAAAGTCTCTAGAGATTTATCTCCATGTCCATGCCTAGCATATCCAGATATCATCGAGTTCCAAGAATAGACATTTTTTACAGGCATTGATGTGAATAATCTCGAAGCGTAGTCAATTCTTCCACATTTGGAGTACATGTCAACTAGTGCACTTCCAACCACCACATCAGAGTCCACATAAGCCCTAATCCCACAAGCATGAACTTCCATGCCACGCTCCAATGTAGCAACTGAAGCGCATGCGCTAAGAACAGTAGCGAAAGTGAAGCAATCTAGTCTCTGGCCATTTGTTAGCATAAGCGAGACCAAGTCCATAGCCTTCTTTAACAGTTCATTATGAATGTAGCCAGAGATCATGGAATTCCAACTCGTCTCGTCCTTCCTAACAATCCTTGAAAAAAGTTTCTCACAGTCATCCATATATCCACATTTACCATAACACGAGAGAATTGCATTTTCCACCGCATTATCACCAGCAAAATGGTATTTTACTGTTAATCCGTGAATCTGCCTCACCAGTTCATATACGGAAAGAGATGACACTGCTCCAAGGATATTTACAAAGGTTATCAAATTAGGGCGCCACCCACCTCGCATCATTTCCATGAGATATTCAACAGCTTCAGGAACTAAAGGATCAGAATCAGATAATGCACCAATAATGGAATTCCATGAAACCTGATCATATTCATGCATCAATAAGAACACTTTCTTGCAGTTATTTATACATTCCGTCTCTGAATAAAAGTCAATGAGAGAATTTGAAACTGAAACATCAGTATCAAGTCCCAACTTAACCCCTTCACAGTGTATTTGTTCTCCTAACCTTAACCAACCTAAGCTAGCACATGAACTCAAAGCACTGATCAGTGTGAAATTTGCTGGCATGAGTTGATTTCTCCTCATTGCACAAAACATCATAACTGCATCTCTAAAATAAGCATTCTGATCAAAGCCGGTGATAATTGAATTCCATGAAACGTCATCTTTGTTCATCAAAAGTTTAAAAGCAGAAGCAGCATCAGTAACTGTGCCACATTTGGCATACATATTTATCAGACCGTTTCCAATAGCAACATTGGAATCACTTAACCCATTCCGGATAACATAAGCATGAACTTCTCTACCCTTTCTCCTCCCTTCCTCCAATATAGAGAATTCACTAAGAGTACTAAGAAGTATTGCATAAGAATCAGATGTTAATTTAACTAAATCTTTCATCCCCAGGAAAACTTCAACAGCTGCTTCTCCATGTTTTTGTCTTGCTAAACCAACCATCAGTCCATGCATGGAAACCACATTCCTCACATCCATCAATTCAAAGATCTTCCTAGCTATGGTTATTTTCCCAGACCTAGCAAACCCACTCACCAAAGCACTTCCCACATACAAGTCATATAGAAATCCAGACTTTTCTATCGTGCACATAGCCTGGTCAAGCAAAAATGAGTTGATCTCAGATAAAGAGGAAGCTGCTGTTATTAAGCTTCCAAATGTATACTCAGTTGGTCGCAACCCCTCTGCTTGCATACCAGATAAGAGCTTAAAAGCAGAAACTGCATCTCCCTTATGAGAATAAACCGAAATAATGGAATTCCATGACACCAAACTTCTAATTTCCATCTCATCAAAAACGCAAGAAGCATAATCAGCCGAATCCATACAATTCCCATACATTGAAAGCAGCCCATTACATACCACCTCATGAAAAGCATTCAAAGATTTTGAAACGAGCCCATGAACTTGTATCCCAAATCTAAGTCCATGAGATTCTAGAACTTGGCAAGCTCTCAAAACACTACCAACAGCATAATGAACAGGCTGGAATCCCTCACGAATCATTTCACGGAAACTGGTACAAGTCTCATTAGGCATGCGGTTTCGAGTATACCCTGATATCAAGCAAGACCATGAAATTGAGTTCCTAAAAGGCATTTCGTCAAACACCTCACGTGCATATACCATATCACCGATTCTTGCATAAATATTGACAAGGGTATTAAGCAAGAACACGTCATAAGTATACCCATTTTTAAAAATCTGTACATGAAGCTGCATGGAATCCTCATGAGAACATGAATACTGATAACGATTAACAAGAGAATTATAACTTTCCCAATTTGAGGAAGAAAACTGCGTGATTCCAAGTCTGGTCAGGTAAGATTTATCGAACAATGTGGTTGAGGAAGGAGAATTTGTCAGCAAAGATGGATTCGAGTTTTGGGTATCAAGAAAAATCGTGTCTTTTGAGTGAACCAGCGATGGCGCCAATGTAATGGAAGCAGGTTTTGGACTGTATGAGAGACGTCTGTGCGTAAATGCAATGTTTCTTTGAAACATGGCACGATAAAATTAGTTGCAAATCGACAAAAATATCATAGGATATATATCTAATTCAAATCTCAATTATTATCACGCTGCTTTCTATGCATCAAGGGAGAAGCCATTATTTTAAGAAAATATTCTGAAATATTATCATGTAAATTAGTCAATTACAATTATGTTACCCTATTTAGCAGGGTCGGTCTGAAACTTTTTAATGTCCTGGACGGAAACGTTAAAACATGTTCCAACAAGAAAAAACGTAAATATATTTTAGGGTTTGTAAAACTGTTCAAACGGTGTTAGTTCATATCCAATCATTGGTACAATTTCTTCCGGGTGTAAAACTTTATATTTCCCTTTATTTTCTTGAATCATAATATACACACATATGTATGTGTATGTGTCATTTTCTATGTTATATATATATATATAGAGAGAGAGAGAGAGGGGGGTTGGTTCAAATAGAAACCAATCATATAGTACAAACTATGGAAACCGATCTTGACCAATCACATTATTTCTTCACTTTAGGTTCAAATCTAAATTATAAATTAATGATAAGGGTAATTTGGTAATTCAACCTTTTTGTAATCCCCAATAATTAATTGGGAGTTACAAATCTTAAAAGATACATCTAATTGTTCATGAGATTTTTATGATTTCTTTATTATTTCATGTTCATGATATTTATTTCAATTGATTTTATATATATATATTGAAATTGGTTGTCTAAGTGTACAAGATTTTCATTTCGTTTAAGATACATGGAGAATCCTATTGTAAAAGAATGTCAGTATAATGAAGACGATAAACGCTTGCAGTCTATTTCATATCTGCACACATGCACAACGATCCTTGATTTTGAAAATGTTCATATATGTGCATCTCTTGCAGTCTATGTTCATAT